AATTGTTAGATGACTATGTGACTGCTGAATATCCACCTTTCGGGGTGCATAAAGCAAATAGTTGACTTGACTTGACTTGACTTGACCAGAATAAACACCGTAATGAAAAAGCAATCATGCATTCATTCATCATTCATCATCATCATGATTGTACAGCGTGATACAGTGAAGCAAACCTCACCGATTGCTTCCAAACTCGTAATGCATACAAGGTAAGTGCGAGTGTGTACGGTGGAAAGGAATTGGACTTACTTTTGGGGACAGAGTACATAGCCAAAACTGTGCACACATACTACTTCAAGCATTCTGGTCTGATAAGAAGTGACAGCATGGTCGCTGTTGGTTCTCAGCCATATATATATATATATGTTTATATATATTTAATACCGGCTTGTAGCCAAGAATGGTGCCAACGCAGCAGCCATGACCTTCAGTGTCTCCAACCACGCGGTTACGGAATCAATTGGACCACAACCCGGACGATTAGAGACACCTGCTCTACCTAATCGCTCTGTACATTTCTTCATTCCTCGTCACCACGTCACCTGCTGGCCTCCACGTGGCTTCTTCCGGCTCGCAACAATTATGTATTAGAGAGAATGAACGTTCGCACTGCTTTGCATAAGATATATTTCAATTCGGAGCTGTAACTTTCAAATTTCTACAAACTTGAACGAGAAACTTAAGGTCGCCCACAAATTTAAACGGAGATGCAGGAGAACTAAGAATGTAGCAGTGGGAGATAGAGTTTAGAATAAATACTTCTCTTCCATGGTGATATTGGAAACGCAAAAGCATTTCCAAAGCGAGAACGATGTTAGACACGTTCGATCAATACACGTAGATGTCACAAACACCAAAATTGTATCTTGTATTTCGTCTGGCTCCACAGTCAACAATCGATCACACATAACAAACAAACAAGCAGATTTTGATATTGAGATCAAACGGTTATGCTCATTGGGGAAATGAGTGACAAGTTTATGACATCACCTATTCTCGCCAGCACCAAATGCTTCCAAAATGTACAAAGCAAAGGGGATAAAAAACGACTGGTCGGAAACCGTGAGTGGCGTAAATTTCAGAACGAAGTGTTTGTGTTTTGACAGCCTCTATTCTAATCTTATATTTTTTCAAAGTCGTTTTGAGGCTCACAAAAGTCACAGAAGTGTGACTCAGAGAAGTCAAGCCACGACAGTACCAAGATAAAAAGGGAGGAAGTAAGTTCGATCCCAAAAAGCGGGAGGTCGGGAAAACAGGGTAGTAGGAATCATGGACACTTGTCTGGAGGGCTCGAATCAAATTGATTGTCTTTAGCAACTATGATCGGGAACTAAATGTACGCAGTTCAATCTCAATTCGCGCTGAGGTTTGTCGATTCAAGAAACAAGGGGTTTTGAAAAACGAGATTGATTCTCAATTCAAGTGTCACCTAAACCTGTTTTTTGAGCGATCGAAACGTGAGTGTGTGTGTATGTGAAGAGATGAATAATGAGAATCAATCATTGAGATCGAGGAATCAAAATTTTGTTTTACTACCGGGATTCGTCAAAGACGCGTTCGGACCTATAAATCTGACAAATGGAAGATATCTGACGATGGAAACAGTGTTATACAATGTAGATGCAGTGCAGACACGCACGTCTGAGGAGCCCTCTGATGGGAACTTCGGAGAGAGCCCGTATTTCTGAATATCATCATCATCATCATCATCATCCGAGTCATCATCATCATCATCATCATCATCATCATCATCATCATCATCATCATCATCCGAGTCATCATCATCATCATCCGAGTCATCATCATCATCATCATCCGATTCATTATCAACATCAACATCATCATCATCGTCATCATCATGAATGATCCAATTTGTCTTCCAATCACTGATCTGACACATTTTGCTACTGCTGAACATAAATACAACCATGATTTTTTTCAAGATGAACCGGTTTCTGCTAATTGTGCAATCCTCTTATAATAAGGGTTTTATGCGCATCATGGTATATAAACGGAACACTCGGCGGAGAGAGTGAGGGGCCTTTTTAGGGGCGAATAATGTACACTTTTTTCTTAGTTTGTATGCGATAGTCAATCACTTGACAGTACAACACTCCCCGTAGAGACATGTTTTCGATTGTACTAGAATGTATGGAAAAACAAATTTAAAAATGAATTTTAAGATTAAAACTCAAATTTTCCTACTGTTAAATCCTATTTGGATCCAAATTCATCCACATGAGAATTTGACCTAATTTTACTTGAATTATCTGATTTCGCCGCTAAAGGAAACCTTACCGATGTTGGAACCAATAAACCGTCTCAAACGCAGATTTGATCCAAAATTGCAGGTGGAAACCTTGTGAGGGAAAGGCTTTCGCAATCACTAGGTATATGATATGTTAAGTGAGTAATGGAGGATTTGGTTTAATTTCAAAGGTGAATTCGTCGTGGTTAGAGCAAATGAAGCATGAAATGAAAAGCTAGGATGCACTGCTGGACAGCTGTTTTGATCTGGTTGGGTCTCATCAGGCTAGTGCTGAGATTAGGGAGGTCCATGGTCCGGACGAAGCTCCCAACGATGGGCTGTTCTATATCGTGTTAATGGAAAATGAAAAACGGTCTATACAACTATCTGGTGGCCGAGTGTGTAGCATGCTTACGTTCTGCCCATGAAGTCCCGGGTTCGCAATCCCCAGTTGAATCGATGGATTCAGGCACTGCGCTGATGAGATCAAACCACGTCGAAATAACTGTCTAGCAGTGCTTCCTAGCTTTATAGTTCATGTTTCATTTGCTTCATCAGATTTTCGTTTCACAACTTTTTGTTATAATATAAACTGAAGGAAATACCGACCGATTCACGGGGAATGAGAACCGGTGAATCCATTGGTTGTACATGTACTTTTGTTGCTCGCCT